CATGGAGGGAGCAGCGCTGGCACCGGGGATGTTGATGGGAACACCAGCAGCCTTGCAGGTGTCCTGGACGGCGGAGATGGCCTTGGCCTGGTCGTCCTGCTCACAGGCACCCTGGACGCAGGGCTGGACCTTGCCGAGAAGCTCAGCACCCTTCTTGCAGTGGCACTCGAAGTCGGTGAGGGAGGAGCAGCCGTCGCTCTGGAGGGGAGCGAGGAAGCATTGAAGCTGGAAGGTGTTAGTTTATGATGAGTGTGAAGACGATCATGGAATGACATACAGCGCAAGATGGGATGTTGCTGAGCTGGGCAGAGCCAACGGAGGCCAGAGCGGCGAAGGCAGCGATGGTGAAGGTCTTCATTTTGACGGTTGTCTTGGTGTTGATACGGTGATCGGTGTAGTGAAAGTTCTTTGATGTATGTATAACGACAGTTGAAGCTTGCAGGAACTCCAACAGGAGGCTCCCATAAGCTCTTTATATCAAGCGGAACCGTAGGCCACCCGTGTCAAGGTGAGAAACAAGCTAGCACCCAAGTGGCTCCACACTGGGCGTGTTGTTCGCCCCCGTTCGAGATCTTCAAGCAGCCCCTGGAGGTATTGCTCGATGTGGTAGCGCGTGATGACACTACCCCAGACTACGCATCGCTAGCTGCGGCTCGTCGAGGCCGGACTTGTGAGGGCAGAGTCTATTGCCACACAACTAGGCGCGGCGCGCCTTGCCAGCGAATGGTCGTGAATCATGAAGACTGAAAGAAAGGAGATGGTACCGCGTAACTTTCTCTACATTTTCTTGAGTGTCATGTAGAAATTGCGAGGAGCGTGTAGTGCTATTGAACCGAGTAAGAAGCCATCCGATCGTCGATTGGACATCATTGGTGAGCATTGATGTTGGGCGACGGCGAGCTCCAGCATAGAACAGGGATCGAATTGATCAAGGCGCCAAGAACCATGCCGCAGAGACTAGAAGCTTTTGCTGATTGGGTCTCATGAGGCCAGTGACGGTGCGGCCGTTCCCATCTAATCGCTTCCGGGACTAGTGCGAAGCGAGAAGATCCGGGGCAGCCCTGAGGCTGGGAAACCGCGCAAGAAGGCAAAACCAACGACTATGTGCATCGTCGCTTTGCGCAGATCTTCAATCGTCAAAGTTTTCATCTTCAGTCCGGCTGGGTGGCCATTGGATGGCGGCAAGCGCAAATGCGACACAGAAATCGATATATGGCGCAGGATCCAGTGTTACAAACCCCGCGACATCTCGACCATTCTCGGCCAAACATCCGGGATAATCCATGCTTACATCCTTTGGCTAAGCTCGGTCGCGCAGGAACATGGCTAACCCGCCGAACGGATGCGCCATCCGAACGTCCACCGCTGTCTGCGAAATTCCCGGCAAAAAGACGGTGGCATGGCGTAAGACTGGCGGCCTTGTTGTACCTGCATTCGTGTGTCTAGGCGGCTGTAAGAAATATGCTTGTGTACTCCTATCCTCAAGACACGAAATACCTACTTCTAGGCACAGGACACTTTCTCTTGAGTTACTTTGTGGTGGGTGTGCCGCCAATACGACCCTGTTGTTGAAGTGCAAGGGTTTAACCGTTCCTGCGTCATTTCGTGCGGAGGTGGCTTTCCTCCTCTGGAAGGATCTGACGATTCGGTCTGGCTCTCCATTCAACTTCCTCGGCAGCATGTGCTTGACCGCGCGCCGTTCAGCTGCTTTTGCGCAATCCTGGAGCTATGAAGCGGAGAACCCGGAAGATCTGGGGAAACAAGCATCCTCGCCGTGACCGCTGAGTTTTCCGTATCCACAGGTTCGCGACAGTTTTGCGCAGTCATAAACGTGGTCGCGATGCAGGAAACATGTGCGCGGTGCTGACAGCATCTGACATGTGAGCTTTGCGGCGCAATATTACAGTGCCATGCTGTACGAAGGAGAGGCTCACTCGTATCCCCTGCATGTCCTGCACATTCTGATGTGTGCACGCGAGCGTTGGGCATTGGATCGTCTAGCCATGAGTATTGGACGATCCGAAGTGGGTACCCATGTGAATAACCAGATGAGGGCTCTTACGTACAAATTACCGGTCATGTAACCCCATTGAGCTCCCAGCATTGCGTCCTGGATTCTCTGCTGCGGAGTAAGACCAGTCGGCTCCTCCGCTTGGGATTTGTGCATTGGACCCTACATCCAATCGCCGTAGACCACCATCATTTACTCGAAGCCTGGATTCTTAGCTTCCAAGGTTTGTTGAGATGCTCAACCCAGATCTCGGGAAGATGGGGTACGCTGTAGTCGAAAGAAACACTGTGGTATCATATCTTGTCGACATCGTTCAGCTTTCGCGCTGGAGCTCGATGAATTCGTTCGACTGTAGCGTGAGTTAGGTACTTCGTGTTGGTACACTGCTGTTTGTATGCAACATTTTTGAATAGTTTGGAGGCAAAAGCCATATGGTTGTTAATGTTAGCTGTCAGGGAGTATGATATGATGCTCGCGCCAGTGTGCGCTTGGTATCAAAGGATACGGTGCTGCTTGAAGCCAGGCGTCGTTGATGGTCCGTGCGGGAATAGCGAGAGTAATTTCTAGCCGGAAGACAGCTCAGTAAAGGTATGTGTCGTGTTTGACTGAAGTTCAGCACTGTAGTCTTGCTCGATCCGGAGCCGGCTGCTTGCTAGAAACCAACAAGCGTGCTGGATATTCCCCAAAAATGGCAGGAGCGGGACATAGAAAGCTAGTAACAAACATTAATACGCACAGAGTATGAGAAGCGAGCGACCATGCTGACTGCTGGAGATAGTAAGACAGTTGTGTGTAGGTTGACATAGTGGTGAGTGCAGAGCGGGCAGTGAACGAAATCAATCAGATAAGATAGTCGGGCTTAGCTCGGCTTAGTGAGGAAGGCGCGCTAGTGAAACTTCGCGATGGACGACTAGCAGTTGACCCTCAGTATCACCACATACGTCAACACGTGAGTCTCTACTGTTAGTGTCGCCTCAGTCGCGAACAGCCGCAGCTAACGTTGATGCAGTTCTCCTTCCCTCTTCCACATCACGTCGTCAACATGGCCGAAACCGCAGCGTCGCGACCTCTCAGCACGGCGGAACAGCTCATACGATCTTCTTCGAAGCGGACACGCGAGATATTCGCCGCCGATTTCGCGTCATCAGCGGCGCTAGATCACGCTTCGAATGGCAGCTTCTCGATACACCCAACCACACCAGCGCCCTCAGCCGCTGCAGACCAGGCCAGCGTCGCATCGCGCATTCGCAACGAATATGAGCATGTGCGCGAGCTACCACCCGCGCTAGCTGCGAAGATGGCCAGCGCAGCATCTACAGCGGCCGAGCGACGCAAGAAGATCAAGGCACAGAACGCTGAAGAGAAGGCCTCGGATCCTAAGATGCAGAAGATGATTGATGGTGTCTCAGAAAAGGCGGACAAGGCGCGTGATGCACAGTCGATGCAGTTGGCAGTGAGGGCAGGAGGCAAGGGCGCTGCACCCAACGCTCATGGACCTACGCCGAGCAGAGACCAGACGTCGAGCGCGTTGGTCAGGAAAGACGTGGTTCGTCAAGCGAAGCCTGACTGGCACGCGCCATGGAAGGTCAAGACGGTCATTAGCGGACATATGGGATGGGTAAGTTATACGATAGTATTGTACAAGAGAGCGACAGCGGCTGACTACGTATAGGTGCGATCGGTGGCCATGGAGCCTGGAAACCAATGGTTCGCGACCGGTGCCGCGGACAGGACGATTAAGCTTTGGGATCTGGCCAGCGGTCAACTAAAAATTACCTTGACAGGACACATTTCGGCAGTCAGAGGGCTTGCAGTGAGCCCAAGGCATCCGTATCTCTTCTCTTGCGGAGAAGACAAGATGGTCAAATGCTGGGATCTCGAGACCAACAAAGTCATTCGACATTACCACGGCCACTTGAGCGGAGTCTACTCGCTTTCGCTTCACCCGACTGTGGATGTGCTCTGCACTGGAGGACGAGATGGTGTAGTCCGCGTTTGGGATATGCGCTCGCGCAGCAACATCCATGTTCTCGGAGGCCACAAGGGAACCATTTCCTCGATCCAATGTCAAGAAGCCGAGCCCCAAGTCTTGTCTGGAAGCATGGACAGCACAATACGACTCTGGGACCTGGTCGCCGGAAAGACTCGTACGGTTCTCACACATCACAAGAAGTCGGTTCGCTCTCTTGCCACACATCCCACGGAATTCACATTTGCATCTGGATCGGCGCAATCGGCGAAACAATGGCTATGCCCGAACGGTGATTTCATGCAGAACTTCTCGCCGGTCAACAGCATCATCAACACACTCTCCGTAAACGAGGATAACATCATGTTCGCCGGTAGCGACAACGGCGAAGCCTCGTTCTACGACTGGAAGACAGGCCATCGGTTCCAGCATGGCGAAAGTATCGCACAGCCGGGATCTCTCGAAGCTGAAGCAGGCGTCATGTGCTCGACATTCGACAAGACCGGCCTGCGTCTCATCACTGGAGAGTCGGATAAGTCTATCAAGATTTGGAAGCAGGATGAGAACGCCACGGAAGAGACACACCCGCTCGACTGGAAGCCGACACTGGGACGACGGAAATTCTAGTTGGATATGATTGGGGCAGACGAGAAAGCTTGTGCATAGTATCGGAGTTGGGACGGCGTCATGAATGTAAACTATTGGGATCAAGGCATTATCTGCATAGGAGGTATACCACGCACGAGGCGCGCAGTCATTTTCACGGACCTTGATAGCGCTTAGAAACCTAGCGTAATACAAAAGCGTCATTCGGTGCCTGTCATGTCCTAGACTTGCTGAGTTGACTAAGACATTGCAGAAAGCTAGATACTGACGCTGCTATACTCGCTGAATACGATATACGCGGGTCGACGTCAGCAGTGGTCTAAGCTCGAAAGTGGGTTGTCCAAAGAACACCAAGCCTCCCGCACCCTCAGCCATCCCGCTCAAGATGCAGAAACGGGCGCCACCCGCACGATTATGGCCCCCGTGAAGCGCAGAGATCTGGTCTTCGCCGCTATCGCCGTCTTCATCGCCTGGGGGTACCTGACCCATTGGCAGCCCAAGCTGCACTACCTGCCCTACGCCTTCTTCGCCGGAGTACTCGCGACGCTTGCCCTGGGAGCATGGCTCACCTTCACGATCGCCTGGGACACAGACCTACGAGGCGGAGGAAAGGTCGACTATGGGCCGCGCCACGTCGCCTTCGTTGCGCCGGACAGGTGGAAGGCTGAGAGGGAGGCTTTGGACATGAGGAACATGTATATGATGGAGCCGCTATACCCCGCGTCCTTCATGATATCAGACAGCATCGACGTGCTCATTGGGCTGATACTGCGCGACTTCGTGAAGAGCTGGTACGGCAGTATCAGCAAAAGCCCAACCTTCGTCAACGAGGTGGACAATGCGATACGGGCTGCAATGGGCGAGATCCGGGAACGCATACTGGCGGTAGATATGGTCGAGACAGTCGTGTCGCGCATGATACCTCTCATCACCGATCATTTGCGGGCGTCGTACGAGGCAGAGCGCATAGTCCGCGGACGCAAGCTGTCGCGGAACATCACAGATTCTGAGGAGCTTGATCTAGCCATCGCAGCCAAATACAAGGAGGGCCGGTTGCACCCGGCGGCGTCGTTGGCATACTCGAATACCAAGCCTATACAGCAGCAACATCTACGAAGCATCGTCACGCGACTACTGCCAAAGATTATGCCTGCGAACATGTCTACCAGTCCCGCTGTCAATGTACTGATCAAAGAGCTTGTGGCCTGCGCAGTCCTCTCTCCTGTGATGCAGATGCTCGCTGACCCAGACACATGGAACCAGCTTATGGAGGGCTACGTAAGAACTTACCCGCGCATAGTAGACTGTCGCTAATTCGCTCAGGGACGATCGTTAATACAGGAAAGGAAAACTGTCCGCAAGATTCGAGCTGCTCTCGATGAACATGCTCCGCCCTCACCGAAGAACCCCAAGAACGTCCAGTTCCCAAAGCTTGCGCCCGGCGATAACGAACGACGGTTCGAACGTTTCATACGAGCCATCAGGCAGACCAATACTCTTGCAGATGCTAGACGATTTCGCAGCGAAGTGTCAAGCCAATTGCGGAAGGATTCCACTGTAGAAGATCAAGACCCTGTCTATCTGCGGCGCCTAGAAACAGCGCGACAAATCTTGGATACAAAGGTCACCAACCTCAGTGCTGGTGGCTCGGTGCGGGCAAAGGTTGCTGCGCAGGAGAAGCCGAAGCACAAGCGCACTTCGTCCAAGTTCGCAAATGCGTCTTTGCGCGAAGTGCTGTACGATGCCTCAGGACTGTCTTGCTTCATGGAGTTCATGGACCAGGCGGATCTGATGCGGCTGGTGCAATTTTGGATCGTAGTGGACGGCTTTCGCAATCCATTGGAAGTTGAGACTGAAGAAGCGCCAGACTACATAGGCTCGCTTCCTGCATGGACAGAGTCTGACCGCGCAGACCTGGCGCAGATCTACGACGGTTACTTGTCGAACCCGGAGTTGAAGATACTTCCTGAAGCTCAACAAGCTGTCTCCGAGTTTCTCAAAGCCGGACGGAAGGCGACTCCGCAGCAGTATCATAATGCGCGACGTTCTTTGCTCCAAGCTCAGACGGCGGCGTACGAACAATTACAGGAGCCCTACTTCCGAAGGTTCAAGAAATCCAACTTGTATTACAAGTGGTTGGCCATGGACGAGGCGGCGAACGCTCAGAACAGCAGTGTGAATACGAGGACTGTAGCGCAAACACTCGACAATTCGTCTGCGGCTGCACCTGCTATGATTCGCACCCAGTCAAGGCAGAAAAGCGCATTGCAGATACCACAAGGAGACTTGCGTCGAGCCGTCGCATCGTCATCAGATCTCAAGAGCCAAGGAGCCGTCAAAAATGCCGAGCCACCTGCACGACGTTCTTTGGATGTACATAGATCAGCATCTGCACGCGCACCTCTTTTCGACGAGGACTACGACTCAGACCCTCTCGCACACTCGACCGCAAGCCTCAACTCAGACTTTGGTCATGATCGCTCCAATGGCAACAATACGCAGGTCGTCGATGCTATGCAGGCTGCCATCATCGACATTATGGACGAGCCTGAGGGTTCGATATTCTACGAGCCGGGCCTGAAATCGCCACTAGACAGTGTTTCCATGCGAGGATCCGTCGATCTACCACGAGCGTCATCCCCAGCCCCACAATCACAATTGCAGCAAAGCAAAGACAGTCTGAAGCCAAGCATAGCGTCCCTTGGCTTAGTTGGAGAGCCTAGAACGCGCGGTGTCTTTGATGATGACCTGTTTGGTGATGAAGAAAGGTTCATGGAGGACGAGATCGATGACCCAGTCCCAAGGAGCAAAGCAGAGGAGGAAGAGATCCACGAGGCAGCGCCCGGAGACCTGGGTCTCGCAGAGGCTATCGATGCGCTAACGGCTGATATTGAGCGCCTAGTATCCCAAGAGTCTATCGTCGACTCGCTTACATCGAAAGCTGAGTTGACAAACAACGCTGCAGAACTGAGGATCTTGCGAAAATCGAAAGCCAGTCTTCAGCGAGAAATCCAAAGAAAAGAGCTACAGCGTCAACAGTACATTGTTCAGGAGAGCGACAACAGCTTGTACGGACGCGCGACTGTGTTCATTCAATCAATCATGGTCGGCACAGAGGAAGACGGCAAGGAGTATGCTATGTACGTCATCGAAGTACGACGACGTGCTGGCGACCAGATGCCTGCCGCTACTTGGGTCGTCTCACGACGATACAGCGAGTTCCACGAGCTGAACAAAAGGCTTCGCGCCAAATTTCCGCAAGTCCGAAATCTGGAGTTCCCGCGCCGGCAGATGATGCTGAAGCTCCAGAAAGACTTCTTACACAAGAGACGACTTGGCCTTGAGAAGTACCTAAGGGAACTTCTACTCATCCCAGCTGTCTGTCGCAGCCGCGAACTACGTGCCTTCCTCTCACAAGCTGCGATCAGCCCCGCCGACGCCTTGCGCAACCAGGATCCAAACTCCAACGACTTCGTAACTCGCATCTACAACTCAGTTGCCGATGGTATGGAAGAGTTCCTGGGTAACATACCGGTGCTGGATCAACTGTCCGTCGCAGGCCAAAACCTCATATCAGCTGCAACCACTCAGCTCGCCAACACAAACGGCGCGACTGCCCAACCCGGCAATCTTTCCTCCTCCGGCGTCCTCGTCGCCGGCGAGCCCGGCAACGATGCAGAAGCAGAAGCCGAACTCCTCGCCTTCGAAAACAAAGAGCTCGAACCCTTCGTAAAACCCATCTGCGACATCTTCCTCGAAACGTTCGAATTGAACCGCGAGAACAACTGGCTCCGAGGCCGCGCTGTCGTCGTAGTCTTGCACCAACTCCTCGGTGGCACTATTGAGCGCAAAGTCCGCGAGTCTTTCGACAACCTGCTCTCTGAGAACAACATCGTCAAGTACATCGACACGCTAAAGGACAGTATGTGGCCGAACGGCAGGATGAAAGTCGGTGTTGAACGAACTAGCAAAGATAAAGAGAACAGTCGGAAGGCGGCGAGCGAGGTTCTAAGTACGCTGGTACCTGAGTTGGCGAGTAGTGTGGTGGGGAGGCAGAATGCGCAGTTGGCGGCGAAGAAGATTGAGGGGACTATTAATAATACCCGGTTGAAGTAAGTTTACGGAATGGTTCTGGTGGATGATGCTAACGAAGATGCAGTACGCATATTGCGTTTACGCTTCTGGACGAGATGGTGCAGGTTTTGTTTCCGGATGTTGGGACGAAGTAATGTGGGCATGAGAAGAGGGGGCGTCGAAAGGTGTTGCACAGGTGGCGTTGTAGGCACTAAAGATCACAACAGGCGAGTATTGCTTTCTATGATATCACGTTCCTGATGTAATTTTCTGTTTGGCATAGTCCCCATGTTCGTGGTCACTCGCTCTTTCCTCTTCTTGCTTTCAGTACGTCATCACAACACAAGGCTTGTCTTGATGTGGCAGCCACGCTCAACCCGACCTTTTGCACATTAGGATGACGTTCAGGGAATCTTTGTCTTGTTTCAATGCTCAGGAGTTGGTTTCCTTCTCGTTATCTCTGAGATGCTAGCAAACAGGCGTGCATAGGCTTGAACGTATGGGCGGGCACCAGCATCAGTCAGGTTCAGCACTTCTGCACACCGGTACTGGAACCTATCGAGGCATTGTATCTCCTCAACTGATACCAGAACTCATCTTTGCGAGGTCGCCTACGCTGTTCACTGTCGCCGTATCGACGCTTGCTGGTCTTCCTCGGATGCTTCCCCTTCACCTCTCACCATATCCTGACGAGCGTTGCTGCAGTGCTGAAAGTGACTAATGCAGACCCCCGGACTCTCATGCACGAATGTTTGCTGATGGAAACGGCACTCGCGGTGTTATCTCGCCCGCTTCTCCACCGCTTGATGATTCACTCTCACCTCTCACCACACCGTGCAGGGTTTTTCCGACGGCTAGCGTCCGCACGAAGGATAAAGTTGCTCCTTCCCAACGGACACTATCACCGACACAATCTCTACAGCGACGCATCCTTCCGCTGATCTTGCTAAAAGCCTACGCCCGAATCAGCTCACGATGTCTGGACGCGGCGGCGGACGCAACCCACGAGGCGGCCGTGGTGGAAGAGGTGGCAGAGGCGGAGATCGCGGTCGCGGTCGTGGTGGTTTCAATCAAGGCAGGCACGATGGCAACACCAAGGCCTCCAAGCCCGCACGGGTCAAAGAGACGGAGGAGCAGAGAGAGGCACGAAAGTCATACAGCTCATGGAAGCGCCGCCTTGGTGAGGCAGAAACCGATCCAACGACCATGCGACGCCTCTGGGAGGGTGCTTTTGGCATACTCGAAGCTGGAGACCGAGACTGGCGACAGCAGCTCCCCCAAGACCTCAACGATGATTCGGACGATGAGAGTGGTCATCGTCACATCCTCGCCCTTCTGAACTCAAAGGTTATCGGCTCGGACTACGACACCTTCCTCAGCAACGCCCGTCATTTCCTGCTTACACTCACGCATTCCTCACTCCTTCGATGTCTCGCGGTTGACACCCACGTCGGTTCCATCTACAACCTCTTCGGTGGTGTCGGTGGGCGGACTGCAGTCTCATATCTCCAGCGGGTTTGCAAGGCTCTGGTGGCAGCTCGGACATCTTCTTCGGCATCTACCAAGGACCACGAGACGACGCTTCTCGCCATGGCGACGGCTCTCTTCGAGCTATTGAGACGTGAGCGTAGAGCCCGGTTCAACGATGAGATCATACCGCTGGCGGACTCCATCCAGGCTGTAAGCGACCTCTACAAAGACTTGGTATCGCCAAATACCTCAACACGGACAAGCATTCGTCTCAATGATATCCGAGCCCTGGTAGCTAGAGCGCACGGTCTCCTCGCCGATCCCACTGGTGAAAATGGGGTTGGAGACGACAACGATGTTGACGGCCCCACGTCATTCTACCCGAGAGACCTTGTAGTGCCCTCAGACCGGTTTGACAACGACAAAAAGGACATTGGCGACATGGTAATCTTCCCGACACGGGATGAGATCGTAAGCGACGCGAAGGAGTTCCTGCCCTATACCGATCCCGACCAGCCACACTTCCTTGAAGATCGCGTGCAACGCCACATTGATACTTACTTCCGTCTGTTGCGCCACGATATCTTCGGTGAGCTGAAGGGGTCATTGGCTGGAATCATGCATGCTGTATCGCAAGACGCCAACACGTTGCTCCACCCCAATCTCAATCTAGGCGATATGCGGGCCAATCAGTACACCAGTGCTCGCGTCAGCTACGTCACGCTCGACAAACGAATGGGGTTGCAAGCTCAGATGGAATTTTTGCAGCCTGCGATAGTCCGTAAGAGGAGTGTTGCCCAGAAGGTCAATTGGTGGGAGGAGTCCAGACGATTCGATGAAGGGTCGCTTTTGTCTTTGATATGGATCCAGGACACTGTCGTTCAACATGTCTTCCTTACTGTCTCGAATAAGGATACCGATCCGACAAAGGAGTACAGCTTGACACACCACAACCAATTGGCCTACATGACGGCAAGTCTGGTAACTCAAGATAGAGCAACGGTCAAGATGCTCATGCAAGCCAACGTCGGAGCAGCCCGTGGTATTCTGCTTGAGTTCCCGAAGGTCATGCCGGCGACCTTTTCACCCACTTTGGAAAGCTTACAGGCGATGCAGCGACTAAATCGGCTACCGTTTCAGCAGTGGATTGTCCCGGACAAATACATTGAACGTCCTTCGACGACTAGGACTCACGAAATTCCTCCACCTCTATACGCGCGGGCGCCTGGCTTCAAGTTCCCCGTGACTGCTCTCCTGAAAGATGGCAACAAAGAAGACTCTTTTTCTATCGAACCAACATCATCATGTGACGACCAGGCGTTACTCGATAAGCTGGAGGCCAGAACGCAACTTGACCGTGGACAGTGTCGCGCGCTCATTGCTGCGCTAACCCGAGAGTTCGCCTTCATCCAAGGACCTCCAGGGACGGGAAAAAGCTTTCTGGGCCTACAGATCATGCGGATACTGCTGGGGATCAAGGGAAAAAGCGATCTCGGTCCTATACTCATCGTATGTTACACTAACCACGCCTTGGATCAGTTCCTCGAACACCTAATCGATATCGGCGTCCACAAGCTCATCCGGGTTGGCGGCATGAGCAAGTCCAAGAAGCTTCTCAACCACAACCTGCGCACCGTCGGCGAATCGGAGACGAAGACCAAGTCAGAGAAGTATATGGCGGCGATGAACTACCAGGATCTAGATCAAAATGAGAAGGAGGCCAAGATGCTCTTTGGTGGTCTTCATGGCTTGTCGAAGCGTCCGGACTGGCATAAGCTCAAAGGCCATATCTACGAAGAACATCCGAAGATTTACAATCAGTTCCGCTCTGTCGATGACGAAGGCTTCACGAAAGCCGGCCGGCATCCGTTCGATGTATGGATCGCCGGTACTGAGGCGTATGGCCAACCTTCATTACCCCAAAGCACGTTACAGCAAATAATCCAGCGGGCGACTGCAAGCGTGTTTTCTCTATCAATGCTTGAGAGGAGCGCACTTGTCGCCTCCTGGGTCTCGCAAGCTCAAGGAAACAAGGTCAGCGAGCTCTTCGAAATCGTCAATAGTGCAGCCAAGACTCAACGACAATTGAACAATATCCATGAGGAGTTGAACCGACGACTGCTAGAGGAGGCTGACGTCATTGGGGTTACCACGTCCGGCTTGGCGAAGCGTATCTCCGTTCTCCAGCAGGTGAAGTGTAAGGTGATCATCTGCGAGGAAGCCGGTGAGGTCATGGAGAGTCACATGATCTCGGCGATGCTTCCCGATGTTGAGCATCTCATCCAGATCGGTGATCACGAGCAGCTTCGACCCTCTGTCAGCAACTTCCGCGACTTGTCGCTCGAGAGCGAGCGAGGAAAGCTTCACGCGCTCGATAGGAGTCAGTTCGAGCGACTCTCGACCGGTGAGCCCGGGCGGCCCCTGATGCCTGTTGCTCAACTGAATGTACAGCGTCGAATGCGCCCGCAAATCTCTTCGCTGATTCGCGAAACCATCTACGATAAGCTCAAGGACCATCCGTCTACCATCGAGCTGCCGGATGTTGTTGGTATGCGCCGCAATGTCTTTTGGCTCGACCACACCAACTTCGAAAACGAGAAGGGTGCAGATACACATGATACGAAGTCCAAGTCCAACTTGTGGGAAGTCAAGATGGTGCATGCCATGGTCCGGCATATCGTTCGGCAGGGCGTCTATAAGCCTGATGATATCGCAGTCCTGACCCCATACACTGGCCAGCTTCAAAAGCTCCGTGCTGCGATGAGTAGCGATTTTGAGATCTGCCTCAGTGATCGCGATCGAGAAGCGCTTGAGAGGGACGGTTTCGCAGTAGAAGATCACGATACATCAAAGACCGCAATACCCGCCCACGAAAGCTATCAAGGGAAGCCGCTGGAGAAGAAGCAATTGTCCGAGTTACTGAGAGTCGCTACTGTCGACAACTTCCAAGGAGAAGAGGCCAAGATCATCATTGTCTCTCTTGTACGAAGCAATGATAGACAGAATGTCGGCTTTCTCAAGACGACCAACCGTATCAACGTCTTGCTTAGTCGCGCTCAACATGGCATGTATCTCATCGGTAATGCAGACACCTACTCTAGCGTCGAGATGTGGCAGAAGGTTATCGGAATGCTACGTGCGACCGAATCAGTTGGGAAGACACTGGCTTTGCGGTGCCCTCGACACCCTGATACCGACGCTCAAGTGCAGCAACCCGACGACTTTCATAAGCTTAGTCCTGAAGGTGGCTGTAGGGAAGCGTGCGCCGATCGCCTCGACTGCGGCCATCAATGTGGGGCCCGATGCCACTCGGAAGCCATGCATGAGGTTTTCCTTTGCGAGCAGCCGTGCCAGCGCCGGCATCAGCCATGCGATCATGCATGCCAGAAGGCTACATGTGGAGAGCCTTGTGGGAAGTGTATGATCTTGATGGACCACGTACAGCTTCCATGTGGTCATGTCAAGCACGGCGTCGCCTGCCATCTTACCCAGAATCCTGCTCGCATACCCTGCGACGTCAAGATCTCGAAGCGTGTACCTGGCTGCGAGCACGATGTAGTCTTGAAGTGCTCGGTAGATGTCTCTAAGAAAGACTTCAAGTGCCCTACACTGTGCAACACACCTCTGTCGTGTGGTCATCCATGCCCCGGAACCTGCGCTCAGTGCAATACCAAGGATATGTACG